CAGTACCCTGGGGCGGGGTGGCGGGGGATAGAGAGACTGAAAATGAAAAAAAGAAAGAAAAGAAAAGAAGAAGCAAGTAGCCCCCGGCCTGCCTGTGCTCAGCGTACCACATGTCCGCGCTGCCCTTTGCCGGCCTCCGCTGGCCGCGTCCGCATGCGCAAAGGTGAGCAGGACTTGGACACCACGAACTTCCACGTGATTACAGGAAAGCCAACCCGTATCATGTGACGTGAGAGGGATCCCTCTGAGAAAATCTGGTGTGGGAAGTGTCTTCCCAGGAACGTGGACAAATCTATAGATAACAAGGCGCTTTATGACACCTTCTCCGCTTTTGGAAACACTCTGCCCCGCAAGGTGGTGTGTGATGAGAGTGGCCCGAAGGGTCACGCCTTTGTCCACTGCGAGACCCAAGAGCTGCCAACAAGGATGAGGAGAAGATGAATGGCAGTTCCTCAATGACCGCAAAGTGTTTGTAGGCAGATTCAAGTCGGGAAAAGAGGGAGAGGATGAGCTTGGAGCCCAAGCCAAGGAGTCTCCAATGTTTACAAGAACTTTGGAGAAGAGGTGGAAGGTGAAAGTCTGAGTTTACGAAAAACACGAGGACACCAGTAAGGCCGCGGAAGAGATGAATGGCATGGAAATCAGTGGGAAAGTCCTATTTGTAGGCCGTGCCCAGAATAAAGTAGAACGGCAGGCTGAATTAAGATGGAAATCTGAGCAGCTGCAACAGGAGAGAATTAGTGGATACAAGGGTGTGAATCTACATTAAGAACTTGGATGACACCATTGATGATGAGAAAGGGAGGAAAGAATTTTCTCCTTTTGGATCAACCACCCGTGCTAAGGTTATGCTGGAGGATGGAAGAAGTGAAGGACTTGGTTTTGTCTGTTTCTCATCTCCTCAGGAGGCAACCGAAGCAGCCACTGAAATGCATGGCTGCATCGTGGGTTCCAAGCCACTACTCTATGTTGCCCTAGCCCAGAGGAAGGAAGAGAGAAAGGCTCACCCAACCAACCAGTACATGCAGCGGGTGGCTGGAATGAGAGCGCTCCCTGACAATGCCATCTTAAACCAGGTCCAGCCTGCAGCTGGTGGCTACTTCGTGCCAGCAGTTCCACAGGCTCAGGGAAGACCTCCATACTGCACACCTAACCAGTTGGCACAGATGAGGCCTAATCCACGTCAGCAGCAAGGTGGGAGACCTCCAGGCTTCCGAGGAATGCTAAGAGCTGTACGCCAATCTGGGCCTCAACCAACTCTTCACCACCTGGATCCAGCTGGTAATGCTCTGGCCTCTCATGGCCTCCCTACTACCACGCAGAAAGTCAGGTATGAGAGCTCGGATTGCTTGGCTATGGCCTTTGGTGGGGCTGGAGCCACCCAGCAAGGGCTGACTGACAGCTGCCGGTCTGGAGGTGTTCCCACAGCAGTGCCAAACCTTGTGCCTTGGGCTGCAGTTGCTACTGCCGTTCCTTGGGCTGTGGCACCCTACAAGTATGCCTCCAGTGTCCACAGCCCGAAGGCACCTCAGCCTGTGGTCCATGTGCAGGGGCAGGAGCCCCTGACTGCCTCCATGCTGGCTGCAGCACCCCTCCCAGGAACAGAAGCAGATGCTGGGAGAATGTCTGTTCCTGCCCATCCAAACAATGCATTTGAACCTGGCTGGCAAGATCACAGGTGGGGAGGCTGCTGGAGATTGACCTCTCAGATCTACTGCATGTGCTCAAGTCCCCCAGTCTCTCTGCTCCCTGAGTCTCTCCGCCCCAAGGTGGGTGAAGCTGTGCAGTCCTTCAGGCTCGTGATGCCAAGGAAGAAGCTGCCCAGAAGGTGGGTGCTGTTGCTGCTGCGACACAATTGAAAAGCCAAATAGGCCCTTATGAAAGTCAGCTGAAGGTCTAAAGACTTCCTAGTTTGTCCTGTCGACCTCCACACTGAGAACTACAAGCTGCAAACTGAATAGGTCATTGTGTCTCAAAAGATCAATCATGAAGCACCTAGAACTTTTCAGTTATAAAAGTTATGTTCTCTGGGTTCTGCTATGGCCCAGACATTTTTGTTTTTGTTTTTGTTTTTGATTGTGGGTTTTGATTCTCCCCCCCGGAAATCGGTTTTATTTGATGCACACAAGAAGTAAGTTTCTCAATAAAGAAAAAAAAATCTCCATGATTGTCAAAACCAAACTCTGGGGCAGTGTGGAGAGGTCAGGTCACTTATCTAATGCCGCATGGCTCAGCAGCAGGGACTCTGGAGGGGAACCCAGCCAGCTGGGCTTCTGCTGAGGGATGGCTTCACCCCTGCACCGTGCTGTTGAAGCCAGGACTGGGTGGAGGTCTGGGGTCTGGTCTTGAGCACTGTGAGAGCAAGAGAAATCCTGCATGGTGGACAGAGCTTGATGGTGGACGCTGGAGTGTTTTAGGGAACCCTCTTGTCCCTAGGCTTAGATTCAGGTTTCCCGTGATGGCTGCTGGAACTGTCACATGAAGAGACCTGAGCACCAGGTGAGGGCCCTGAGCTTCATTCTGAGGCCACTGGGGCATTGTGGGAGGGGCGCTGGGGCAGAGGCCTGGCTGCCAAGCACCGACGGGCTTCACAGACCAGCGGGCAGAGTGGGCAGAGCCACCAGCAGACCCTGAGAGCCGTCAAAGTGATGGCGTCTGTAGCGGTGACCTTGGGAAAGTTCTCTGTCCTACTTGGACTCTGCATTTGTACATCTGTAAAGCACAGGTGCTGGACCAGAGCCAGCCAGGTGTCTTGGGTGCTCTGTGCTTCTTTAGATGACCTCGGCTGGGACAACAGGTATCAGAAGGAGAGGGCCTGGGGAGGGCTTTGCAGAGGAGACAGATCCTGGGCAGAGCTGGGGGCAGGGCACTTGCCGGGCACGTGTGAGGCGCTGGGTTCAATCTCAGCACTGTGGCGGTGTGGGGAAGGGGGTGGATCCTACAGGATTCGGGATCCTGTATAGAGCATGATGGACAGATAAAATCAGCGACAGTTCCAGCGTGCCTCCCTAAACTGCTAAATTGATGTTATCCTCTGCCTCAGCCTCCCAGAATGCTGGGATTACAGGTGTGTGTGCCACCATGCCTGGTTTAAAGTTTACAGTTTTTCACAGGGCTCTGCTGGGAGGCAGTGGGAGCAGCTTGCTTTAGAGGGGAGGAATGTGAGGTTCTAGGTTGCCAGGTTGGAGACATTCAAGGGTCAGCAAAGTGGGAAACAGGTCAGGCACAGCAAGCTGCAGTTTCTATTAGGGAGACATGTGCTGGGGTCCTGAGAGGAGGGGAGCTCCCCGAGAAAGGCCTTGGTGGCACCGGGATTAAGAAAGGGTGGTGGCTGCCTGGGTCTCGTAATGTTGACATCAGGGGACGCGTGTGGCGTTCTCTCACTGCCCCAGTGCCCTAGCACACCTCTGCAGACGCAGCGCTCTATCCAGCCCACACATGCCGCCGTTTCTGTCCTGCGTCACACTTCGTATACGGAACACTATCTTATTTTAGTGTGAGCTTCACGAAGGGAAAGGGTCTTGACTATTTTCAGCTCTGTATCTCTGGTTGCTAGAATAGGGTTTGGCAGAAAGTAGTTCAAGAAATGCTTGTGGAAGTCAGATAAAGAGGAACACACCTGTAATTTCAGCACTTGGCAGGCTGAGGCAGGAGGATCACAAGTTTGAGTCCTGCCTAGACAACTCAGTGAGACCCTGTTTCAAAATAAAAAATAAAAAATAAAAAGAGGCAGGTGTGATGGTTCATGCCTACAGTCCCGGCAGTCTGAGAGGCTGAGGAAGCAAGATTGCAAGTTTGAGCTCAGCCTGGGCAATTCAGTGACTGGACAACACTATCTCAAAATTTAAAAATAAAAGGGGAGGAAGTATAAGGCATTATGAAGGCTCTGGGTTCCATCTCCAGCACCACAACACACAAATAAGTGAACTAATTAAATTAAATTAAAAGGGCTGGCTGGGGATGTATGTGTGAAGACCCCGGGTTCAATCCCTGGTACTGAAGGAAGAAAAAAAAGTGTGTTTGTTGAGTGAATACAAGCATGCAAGAATGAATGAAAGGTTGCTATTTCAGGCCTAGTGACACCTGGGTCAGGGAGGAATTTGGGGGCCTGAAGATCTTCCTCAAATAACTCAAGCATCTGCTGCAAGGATGCCCGGGGAGACTCTCCTCCACTCTCCTCCTCACAGGCACTGTTGTGCAGTCTACAACTCAACAGAAATACCCCACCACAGGGCTGTGGGGGCAGCCGCGGAAGACGGATGAGCCTGCTGTCAGGAAGTTCTCCTGCTCTGTTTCCCTCTTGTTCTTTTTTTTTTTTTAATTTTACTTTTCTAGAAGAAGAAGGTTGAGATGGTTCGAGGAGGCCTGGGTCCCCAAGTGGCTCCCGGAGGAAGCCACGCCCACTCCCAACACCAACCCTGTGGTACGGGGTCCTCGGAGACGCTCTGCCCTGTGCCCCCTCCCAGTTCCCTCTTCATCCATCCATTCTGGCTCCAGCTACCAAGCGGCCTCCCTCTGGGCCTGGGGCCTGAGCCCAGGAGAGGAAGGAACACTTGCCACGGTGGACCAGGCAGGAGGGACAGATGGCCACACGGCCACAGTGGGGACAGCACCTCCCAACATGGGGCCTGGGGTGTGGCAACAATGGCCACTCTGGTCTCCTGCTGAGGCGCCATAGGCAGCAGGCCGCGCATTTGTTGGGAGCTAAGCAGCTGGCAGAAGGAGACAGGAGGCCCTGGCTGCAGAGGCATTTGGCTCCTGGCTGCCTCCCTCCTGCCTCTGGGCCGCACCAGGGCCCACTTCACAGTTAAGATCAGCAAGTTGGTGAGGGGCAGTGGCCTCTGCTGGACGCCCGGCCATGCTGTCCTCTGCCCCAGGTGGCCTCCTCCAAGGCCTCCCCTGTGCTTTTTTTCCAAAGAGAAGGCCTGCAAGAAGCTGCCACCCCACGACAGAGGGGAGGACAGCAGCTTGGGGAGGCAAAATTGGCTATGAAAGGCATCAGAAATGGCATTCTTTATTCATAAATAAAACAACAAATTACCAGAAATAAGTTTACATGACCAAAAAGTGACATCCAAAATAAAATAAGATGAAGTCACTGAAAGCAATGCAAAGCAAACCAGAAATAACAGAGAGAAAAATAACTATCTACAGAGTCTTCCAAGTGCCAGGTACCCAAAGCCAGCTTCAGCCAGGCTCCAGCTTTGCCAGACAGCACGGAGAACAAGCAGACAGGCACCAAGAGCGGGTGCCACCAGCCAGGTGCCAGGGCCTCTGGGAGGACCCCTGGCCTGAGACTGCTGCTCCCACAGCCCAGCCTGGTATCTCCTTGGGCAGCTCTGTCACCTAAGAGATGGCCCAGGCTGGGGTCAGGGACACAAGGCTCAATGGATGCCTTCTGCAGAGATCCGCCAATTGTCAGCCCCACCACATTCAGAGCCATGGGGGCTAAGTGCACCTGACTGGAGCTCACAGAATACACCCGGGAGGTGCCCATGGGGTCTGGTAGCTGATACCCGAGGCGACCCCCTGTTTGGAGAGGAGGTGCTGATGCTCTCTCGGCGGAGACCAGAGCACCATCAGGGCCAGACGTTTGGGGGAGCAGACAGTTTGGGTCTGAGCGAGCACCCCCCAGGCTGCCTCCCCGAGCTTGGCCACCCAGGCCCTGCTTGGCCCCTGCTGCCCACAGCCTCTCTTCAGAAGAGGCTGGGTTTGGTGCACAGGTCCATGAACAGCAAGGGTGCTTTCTGACGGCAAGCAAGTAAGGCTACAGCACACTTGCATTCTGGTCCCACCTCTGGCTACCCTGGAGCCCAGGGCAGGTGGCAGCCTGGTGAGGGCATCTGCCCTGCCATCTCAGAGGGTGAGCAAGGCCTGGGCAGGTGGACGTCTGAGATGGGCAGGGCCATGGGGCTGCGGAAGGGAAGGCTGAGCTCCCGGTGGATGTGCCTGCCCTGCCCCACCCTGCCCTGCCCAGGGGTCCTCGCCTGAGGAAGGGCAGCTGGGTCCATTCTCTCTCCATGGGGTCGTCTCACTGGGAATAAGGCCTTAAACAAGGCACAGGACATGTCTGATTGGAGTCTGTTGTGTCCCCAGTGGTGGGGGGGGACATGCAGGGGCCCTGAGCCTTGACACCCCAGGTTTCAAAGCAACCTGTGACTGAGAGCAATGGTTTGAGACTCCAGGGACCCTCACCCCTGTCCCAGGAACACAGCAGGACAGCCAGCCTGACCCAAGGGACAGAAGGTGACGCGGGCCATGAGGACAGTGCCACACTCAGTGCAGGGCTGGATCAGGTTCGAGCCCCATTCCTGCCCCCGGCTCCAGGATCAGCTGGCGGAAGGAAGCCAGAACTGGAGACTGTTCTCGGACCGCCAAGTACCCAGACTGGCACGTTCATCTCTCCTCCACCCTGGGCCCTCAGCAGGCAGGCGTGAAGAGCAGGAATCCAGCAAGGGCTGGCTGTCCTGCCAACAGCAGCTGCGGCTACGTCAAAAATAGAACACGGAGCAGCCTGGCTGCCTGCTGGATCTGGCTTGCTTCTGAGAAGACCAGAAAGGAAAGAAGAAAGAAAATTCCCTGAACCGAGCAACTGAGAAATTCTGCTGTTCTTTCCCCGTTGCTCTGGACGTTTAGAAAGAGAGATCCCAACCTTCCATGGGCACTGGCTGTATCCCTGGACACAGCCTGGGTCTCCTGGGGGCCCACGGTGGAGGGAGGGCGGTGGTGGCCCAGGCTGTCTGTAAGGCTGTGTGTGCACCTCCTATGCCCAGGCACGCTGGGCACCCGTCCTGACCTGGGCAGACCCAGCACTCAGCACTGAAGATGCTACGGGAAGGAGAGGATGCTGACTTGGGCCACAGGCAAAGGAGGAGATTCCAGGTCGCAAGGCATCCTTGGCCCTGGCGGGGACATTCAGGAGCTCCCTGGGGCAGCTGGAAGGCCAGGCCTCAGGGTCCTCATCCCAGCACCCCACCCCAGGGCCTCTGTGTCTGCGGCTTTGAGAGGAGCAGTCATAGAGGCAAATGCCGCCAGCTGTTCAGGGGCTGCACAGCTCAGTTCGATGTCAGACACCACTAACCTGCCACCGGCGCTCATGGCTCAGCCCCACTGCACCCCGGCTGCTCCCCGTCCTGACCCCTACACCTCCGGGGCCAGAGGAAAGGGCTCAGGTCATGAGGACAGATCAAAGCTTCTGGGCACACATGGCTTCTTTCTATTCCCAAGGCATCCCGAACAGTCCAGGGTGAGGGTTTGGGGAAGACATGGAAGGGAGCTTGCATCCTCGGTGTGGCCATTTGGCCTTCAGGGCAGGCACCGGCTTCATGGTAGAGGGTGTCTCTCCCTTGAGCAGAGGCCAAGGTTCAGGGAGCCCTTAAGCAGCCACTGGGATGCTGTGCCGTCCCAGGGAGAGCTGGGGAGTGAGCCCTAGGTCAGGTACTCTGTAGAGTTGGTGAGGAGGGGTCAGGGGAAGGAGGCGATGTAGCCACCCTGGCCCGCCACAAGCAGCTCCAGGGTCTGCTGAGTAGGGAACATGGCTCAGGGGGCCTCCTCGAGGAGACTCAGCCCCCAGCCCCTGCCAGCTCCCTGGCCCTCCCTTCCCCCAGGCGGCCCTCAGATCTCTGTGGCTATGATGTCCTCATAGGGGATGTCAGCCCCTTCCAGGTCAATCTCAAAGGGCTCTCCGGCCCCTTCCCCACGGGCCAGCTGCTGCAGGGCCTTCTCCAGGCGCTGGTTGCGCTGGTACATGGCCAGGTAGCTCTGCTGCAGCTGCTTCTGGTACTGGATCACCTTCTCCTTCTCCTCCCTCCACACCAGCCGCTCCTGCTGGAAACCCGAGGACATCTGGTCATGGCCTTGCCGCTCCTCCTTCAGCTCGGCCCGCAGCCGCTCCAGCTCCCTCTGCAGGGCAGGGATGTCCTCAGAGAAGGTGGGCGTAGCTCCCAGCCCCGGGCCCAGGGCCACGCTCTCCCGCTGCAGGGCAGCCTGGGCCCGCAGCTCCAGCAGCTCTTGCTCCAGGAGGTTCACCTTCTCCCGCAGCAGCTCCGACTCATTCTTCTTGCGCTGCAGCTCGTTCTCGCACACCTCCAGCTCCAGGCCCTTGGTGCGCAGGGTGCTCTCCAGGTCCTGCGTCCTCAGCTCCATGCCCTCCAGCTTGCCCCGGGTGTCCTTCAGCTGCACCTTCAGATTGAGGATCTCGCTGGCCTTGGCATTCACCTCAGCCTGGGACTCCTTGAGCTGCTGCTTCAAGAGCGAGATCTCGCCTGACTTCTGGCACACCTGCGGGGTGGGGGTGGAGGGAGAGCCACAGGTGAATGTCACCCCAGGTGAAGGACCAGGCTGCACCTGACACGGAGCCCTGGCCATGGTGCCCAAGCACGCTGGTCTGGGAAACCGTGAAGGCCAGGAAAGCTCCTCTGAGGCTCACTTTCGCCCGCATCTGTTTCTCCATGTGCCCACCGCGCCCCGACGTAGTCCTCATCCCCTCTCTGCTGGGGTCAGGCTGTCTCACGCAGTCCTAGTGGCACACCTGCCAGTGCTGCCCTGTTGCCTTCCTCCCTGCCTCCTCACCACTTGCACACCTGCTGCCCACAGGAGTCTGGCTAGGAGCAGGGAGGAAGAGCAAAGCCGCTGACTCAGAGCCACGCATCTCCATGGTCCTGGCCCCTCAGGGGCATGAGTGATTCGACAGAAGACCAAGGCCAATCAGGCCGGCTGAGGCCCAAAAGTCATGGACCAGCACCTGGGACCTGAGCAGGGACTCCCGGAATAAGACTGGAGGCCTCCCTTGAATTTCCTCTCCCCTCTGTTCCCAGCGAGACGTTGCACGGACTGCAGGACACTTGGCCCCAACCACCATGCAGGGCTGGCCTGAGAGTCTTTCCAAGGCCAGGCGTTGTCATTCAGACTGTGAATGTCACCCGAGGCCCATGTTAAAGGCCTGGTCCCTGGGGTCATGGACAGTGTGTCCTCAAAGGGCACCGGGGGACCCTGGCCTCCTCCTCACTCTCTTTTGCTTCCTGGCCATGTCATGAGCAGATTTGCTTTGTCCCACACTCTTGCCATGTTGTGTTCCCTCATCAGAGCCCCAAATCCAGTGGGCCAATAGATCATGGACTGGAACCTCCAAGACTGTAAGCCAATCGACCTTTTCTCTTAATAAGTAGATCTTCTCAGGTATTTTGTTACAGTGACAGAAAGCTAACACCACAACTGCATCTGTTTCATGGAGGGAACAGCAGAGTCACAGTGGAGGCATGGGTAGACTTTGAATCCTAGCTCCACTATTTAAGATCTGGGTGATCCTGAATACATCACGACAGTGGTAATATGGTGGGGGTAGTGATTGAACATGTGAATGCTGGGCCCACACTGTTAGGATCAAATCCTGACTCTGATCTCAATACATAGCAGACATTGGGCAAATCCCTTACCCACTCTGAGTCTCCCTGTCCTTAATTGTGAATTTAGGAATGAGAATAATGCCTACTTCATAGTGTGGCTGCAAGGATTCCATGAACTTGGCACTTGACAAATTATCTACAAATTATTAGGACAGTTTTATAACATATTTTGTTTCATATATTTTAAAACAATTATTGTATTGTTTTACCAATACTAGCCTGGACAGGTTGGGAACAAGGCCACAGCAACATGTAACTTAGCTCCAGATTGGACAAGGAGGACAGATGCTCTAAGATGCCCTGAAGTGGCTGAGAAACAAGAGCTGGGGTGGGGTCTGCTGTGACCACACAGGTGGGGAAGAGGGCAGATACTGCCCCTGAGGCGGTCCTGTTCCTGGGACAGCTGGCCAGCATGCAGACGACTCTCCCTTCTCACCCGGCCACAGAAAGGATGCTTTCTTCTCCCTGTCCACCACCGCAAACACTTGTCACCTCTTTCCAGGACAGTGACAGGAGGCTCCAGGGATATCAGGGTTGGTCACCCCTCTGGGGCCTGGTGCTGCTCTAAGCAGACCCAGTGACCCTGGCCTTTCTGCAGTGGGACACTCAGGTGAACAACAGCGCACCCTTACCAGCCCTCCTGGCCCCTTGGGGGCCACTCTGGCTCTCCAAATGGGACCGGTCGAGACACCTCATTCCAAAGCATGTCTGAGTGCGCACGTGCGCGTGTGTGTCTGTGCTTCCTCTCTTGTTCCCCTCTCAGCTGAGCAGAAAATCCACTCACACTTTCACAAGCGGGGCCACTCTACCACTGGGATTTGCCCCTGAACTCTCAGGAATCGGGTGGGGTCCCTTCCCTCATAAACAGTAAGCCAACCTACGTTCTCCTTAGCCCTGATAAAGGCACAGCAGTGGCTCTTCTGAGCCCCCAGTGAGCAGCACACAAATTGAGGTATCTGCTCGTTCGCCCAGCTGGACCTCAGATGCCTTGGCTCCAGTTCTTCAGTCAGTGGCCTGGCTGGTAAACTCAGTTCTGGGGTCCCAGGGGGTGCCGGGGGAGGCAGAAACCCAGAGCTAAGTGCACCCATCTCAGTCTGCCAGGGAGCCCCTTGTTTGGGTCGTGAAGCCCCATGTGCATGGGTAGCTTGAGCTGACACCCTCTGAGGGGAGGGGACCGGCGCCACATGCCTGGTTACCACACACTGAACCACGCACTGCCTCACCTCCCACTGGGTCTCCTCCAGGGCCGGGGCAAAGCTGGTCTTCTCCCGCTCATAGGACCGCAGCTTGGTCTCCAGCAGGTCCTGTTCCTTCATGAGGCTCTCGAGCTCTTGACGCAGCTGTCGCTTTTCCTGCTGCAGCTGGAGCACCTGCAGGTGCAGGATCTGCTGCGTGCGCTGGCTCTTCTGCGACGCTGCCTGCTTCGGCTTCCCGCCACCGCCCTTGGGCTCCGGGCCGTCCAGCTCATCCCTGCTGTGCCGCGCCCGCTCCTCAAAGGCCTGGCTGGAGGCGAACTCCTTCTCCTCGAAGCTCCGCTGCAGCGTCTGCAGCTCGCCCTCCCTCTGCCGCAGCTTCTGCTCCAGCTCCTGGACGGCACACTCGGCCGTGGAGATGGGGGAGCGCACGCACGAGGCGCCCTTCTCTGCCTTGCCCGCATGCGCCAGCTTGCTGCCCCCATCAGAGAACGACAGGGCCTTCAGGCTGGTCATGTTGCTGTCCTGCAGGAGGATGCCCTGCGTGATGTTGTGAGCTGAGCCCCCGAAACGGCTGGAGGGCCCCACGGGTGTGACCAGCGGGTCCAACTGGTAGCTGCTGCTGGTGCTGTGTGTGGGCAGGCTGGACATGGAGTTGCGGCCAGAGTCAGACAATGCCCCGGAGCACAGGCCTGGCTTTGCCTCCAGATCCTTGGGCTTGTCCGGAGGGGCTGCGTGCAGCTGGTGGCTGGCACTCTCCGGGGAAGAGTGCAGAACGGCTCCTGACCGCGGCAGCACCGGCTTGAAGGCTGTGGGCCTCACCGGGCCCTTCTCTGAGCCCTGGGGAGGTAAAGAACCATACTGATCCAGGGGCAGCCCCACTGTCCCTGGTATGTGTGCCAGCCTGAGCCCAGAGCCCACGTGGCAGCCTTCCCGCTCAGCAGCCTTGGCATAGCTTGCCCTCCTAGAGAGCGCCTGCTGTACCGGGAGGATGGCCCAAATGGCGGCTGGGGCACTGTGCCAGCTCATGCCAATCTCCCGAGGTGGCAAACCCAACCTAGGTTCACAGGCTGAGAGGGCTCTGCAGTATGTCTGTGTGGTAAGGGAAGGGCTTAAGCCTTGCTGCATATCAGTCCTTTTGTCTCTGTCACGGCCTCTTCCACCAAGCCTGGAGCCAGGAAGCTAAACATGGCTTCCTCCCAGAGTTCGAGGTGCACCAGAAATAACCACTCTTTTGTATGTGTGTGTGGAACTAGGAATTGAACCAGGGCCATCACTCTGATCTACATCCCCAGCCCTTTTTATTTATTTATTATTTATTTTTGAGACAGGGTCTTGCTAAGTTACCCAGGCTGGGATTGAACTTGGAATCCTCCTGTCTCAGCCTCCCAGAGTGCTATAATTACATATGCATGTCACCATGCCCAGCTAACCGTTCTTTTGTAAACTTGTAATTTCCACTGTTAAGGCACTCTGCAATTTACAAACCCTTTCTTGGGAAGCTGGAAGCTTGTGCCTATGGTGGTGTGTGCCTGTTATCCTAGCACTTGGGAGGCCCAGGCAGGAGGTTCATGAGTTAGAGCCTAGTGTAGACTACAAAGCAAGACACTGTCCCTCTAAAATCCAAAAATTTTAAAAGAAAAATCAAAAGCAAAAGCTGGAAGCTCTGCGCAAACACAGCAGGCTCTTTTCTGATACAAGTTAAAGATTCCTAATCCAAAAATCCCAAATCTAAAATGTTCCAAAGTCCAAAACTTTTTTGAGCTCTGACATGATGCCACACGTGGAAAATTTCACACTATGAAATTTTGTTTTGTGCACAAACTATTAAATACGTTGCATTGGGCTGGGGATTTAGCTCAGTGGTTCCATCACCTACCTTGCAAGCGCAAGATCCCGAATTCAACCCCCATACCAAAAAAAAAAAAAAAGTTGCATAAATGCATAAAATTATCTCTGGGCTGTGTGATGAGGTGTAAATGAAACATACATGAACTTCCTGTTTAGCCTTGGATCCTAATCTCAAGATAACTCATTATGCATAGGTAAATATTCCAAAATCCAGCCAAGCAGGGTGGCACAGGCATCTGGATACTAAGAAGGCTGAAGCAGGAGGGTTGCAAATTCGAGCCCAGACCTGGGCAACTTAATGAGACCTTGCTTGTCTCAAAAATATAAAGGGATGAAGATGTAGTAGTAGCTCACTGGTAGTACACCCAGTGCCACACAGAAACACATCCAGATCCCAAATTCAAAACAATCTGAATTCTGGTCCAAAGCATTTGGGATAAAGGATCCTCAACCTGCCCATCAAAATCTAGGCTCCTTCTCACAGGATGGGATGTGGGGACTGAACAGGAACACTGTTTTCATGTCCCCTGGTGGAACTCACGAGTACCTCAGCTGACTTACAAGGTTGGATTTCTGAGCACCCGGACTTTGGACTCTTTTTCTGCACCCTTGATGATGCTAACAAAATCCCAGCCCTTCTTCAGCCAAAGCCACCTCCGGGCCTGGATGGAACGAAGAGTTACAGCACCCCAGCAGCAAACAAGCACTCACCACAGGAAGTATCTGTGGGCAGAGGCTAACTCCTCTTAAACACTCAGGTCACCCCTTTCCAGGCTCCCCTCCTGCCCTTTCCTGCCCACCCGCCCTGGCCAGAGCTGCCGACTCACCATGTCCAGCTGGTTGGAGAAGGGCATGAGCTTGGGTGGAGTAGATGGGTCAAAGTCCACCCCAGCCGGGCCCCCTAAGTCCCCACTGGACAGTGCTGTGTAGTCTGGGCGGTGGGAGCCCCGTGCCTTCTGGCTGACCTTGATGTAGAAAAAGTCTTCGCTCTTGCCCATTTTGGAGCTGGACTTGCCGTGACCAGACTCCTGGGAGAAGCCGAACCTCAGCAGCCCATCTGAGTATCGGTTGAGCTTCTTGAGGTGGGAGGACTTGCGCAGCTTGTACTGCGAGGCCCGGCAGTGCTTGCTGTGGAAGCCGTGGCCGGAGATGAGGCTGCTGACACTGCCCATGGTGACAACACAGGGACCAAGGGGCTGGGGCCGGGGGTGGCTGTCGAAGCGAGGAGCAGATCTGGCTTTGCAAGAGGACTGAGGTCATAGCAAATCCCTCACAGAGTGCGGACAGCCATAGACCTGGAAGGAGGCAGACGACAGAAGTCAGCCTGGGCAGAGCAGGCTCTGCGTGGTCCAAACAGTGACTTCCAGAGAGTTACTCTGACTGCTGGGCCCAGACCTGCACCGCTGTTGCCCAGCCCCCATTCCGTCTATGCCACCAAGTGCCTGCCTGGGGGTAGCCGCCATTCCATGCCCTGGACATCTGAGATCCGCACATCCACACATCAACGTGGCCTGTACCAGAGGATACGGAGCATGGTGGGTAGGCGAGAATTCTGCAAGGTGCTAGTTTGGTCCAGTGAGTGCTGTGCTTTGGGTGTGTCCCTGGAATTGAGTTCTCAAAGTCAGTATGTTAATGGTATTTGGAGGGGAAGCATTAGAAGTTCATTAGGATTAGGTGAGGCCATGAGAGAAGGGAGGCTTTATAAGAAGAGGAAGGTCACCTTTACCACCTCTGGAGGCTGCAGAGTTCCCCACCAACAAGACCTTACCAGAGGTGGCTGCCCGATCTTACAAGTTCCAGTCTTCAGAACTGTGAGCCCAATAAACCTGTCTTGTTTATAAATTACACAGCCTGGGGTAGATATCCTGTTAGAGCAACAGAAAACAGATTCAGACAAGGAGTGTGAGGATGGCTTTTGAAGAGATCAAGAAAATGAGAGAGGTGGGGTGGAAAGAGACAAGCCACACAGGAATCCAGGAGACCGAGCTCACCAGGAGAAGCTCAAGTCCCCAACCTTGAGTCGCTGAGGTGGAGCACGCTTGGCTATGTGACAGCAGCCCAAGGACCAGCGAGGCTGGAGAAGGTTAGCAAGACAGGTGGAGAAACAGCAGTCAGGAAGGCAGCATGTACCTGGATGGCTGCAAGGGCTTTGGCTCAACTGGCCGAGAAGAAGAGTCCAGCTTGTTCTGAGCAGTTGAAAATTCCATCAGACACACAGGGTTAGGCATATGGGGCAGTTTTCTCTGGCTGCAGGGTGGGATAGAGGCTGCTGAGGGGCTGAGGTGGAACTGGTGGGCCAGTTACGGAAGTGACTAATATACCACCTTCCTTGGCAAGGCTGGTAGCTGTGGATTAAATTTTAGACGCAATTGTCATATAGATTTGCTAAAGGATTGGATGTAAAGCAGTAGAAATTAAGAATGTCTCTAAAAATAGAACAATTAAAGAAAAAAGAAAAGCAAAAAAGACAAATGTTTTGATGTCAGCAATCGGAAGCAAAAAGAAGCCATTCACTGAGGTATGAATGGCCAAAAACGGAGCTGGTGTAGGGCAAGGAGAGATGGAGAGCGGGGGTTGGGATTGATTGAAGGCATCAAGTTTGCAAAGCCTACTGGGTGTCCAAGGAGTGACGGGGAGTAGGCAGTAGGGAGGGGGGGAGGCACTGGGGCTGCAGATCTACACGTGAAGGACACCAGTCTGCAGAAGCCAGCTGGGAGATGAGACGCTGTCACTAAGAAGCAAGTGCAGAAAGGAGAAGCCGGAGCACCAGGACCAGGACCGTCTGAGCAGCAAGTCCAGGAAGCCAGAAAGGTGAGAGAGGATGGGAAAGGAGAAACAACCCGCTCCGATGGAGGTCACCGGCTCCCTTGACAAGAGCAGTTTTGGTGGAGTGGTGGGGAGAAAGGCTGTGTTGGAGAGGGTTCAGGAGGGGAGGGGAAGCGACTGTGGACTGACTGTCGAGAAGCACAAGATCACGTTGGTCTGGATTCCCAGTCACACCACTGCCGGCTGTGCCGTGGGAGGTAAGATATTTGACATCTTCCACTTCCAGTTTTGCAAACTGATTCTAGAGCACTTGACAATTTGTAGAAAACAGGGTCTCCTTCTCTGGGCTGTGCTTAAGCACTAACAATCACCTTGTCAGTCGCAGGCAGGAGTAAGTCGGGAAGTCAACACCACACATATGAGGGTCGGGTTGAGGAGACTACACACAGATTGCACCCATGCTTTCCACAGCTAGGAGGGTGTGTGTGCGTCAGATAGAGGAGGGAGAGATTTCCCAGTCACAAAACCGGTGGCCCAAAGGGAAACCAACTACCAATTCAAAAAATAATAGGAGATGCAGAAGGAACTGGGTGTTGTCTGTTCTTCCCTAAATTATCCAGTAGAATTTAAAGAGATCAAAGAAGACCCGGAGCTGGGGGCGGGGGTCCTGGGGAGCAGCACTGATGGTAAAGCTGAAACAGTCAGAGCCTCTTAGACTGTCACCTCCCGGATCCAAACTTGCTTTGTCACCCTGGAGAATAAAGAGACTATGTTATGAATAAGAGTGATCTCTATTCCATTTGTAAAAGCATGATACAACCCCACTTCATGGTGTAAGTTTAATTATGTTTTTGAGTGTGTGAAAAGCTTTCATTAAATGTCCTCTTAGACTCAAGGAAACATAGTAAAGCCTGCCCCACAGAATCACTAGGAGAAACGTGTGTAACACCACTGTACGATGAGGGCTCTGCTAATTTACTGAATGCTTAACAGACAGCAGGCACTCAGGAAGTGCTAGGCGTTTTTGTTGGCATCTAGTTTTGCTTTTTTCATGGTACCAGGGATAGAACCAAAGGCCTTCACCTTGACCTACGTTCCCAGCCCTTTTTAAATTTTGAGACAGGTTCTTGTTAAGTCACTAAGTTGCCCAGCTGGACTCCGCGTGTTCTTCCTGGTTCAGCCTCCCAGACTGCTGGGATTACAGGAGCGTGTCCCCTTGCCCAGCAGATATCTATTTTTGGGGTTTGTTTTTTTTTTACCATGATCAGCATCCTTGCCATTATTCTCATTTCTATGGTATCTTCAATCCCACAGTGCATTTTCCAGAACCAGTTCTCTGTGCCAAAGCAACTTTCCAGCATCCAATCCCTACACTGCACTTGCTGGGAGCACAGGGCTCCTCTGCCAACCCAAGAGTGGGCACAGACAAATGTGCCTTTCCTCCATCCAGGGCACCGATCACTGGCTCACTGAGGTCCGAGAAGGTGAAATTACACCTCAGGAGCAGCTACTGGCAAAAAGCCTCTTCTGTCCTCTCTTCATTGTACCACTGGGGCAAGGGGCTTCCTCCCATTTGCCCTCCATTTCTGAACACGACCATGCAGAGGCCAGGCCCCTGGCTATGGCGCCAGCCTGACCTTGTTGTAAAAATCAACTTCTCTGAGTTTTTTTTTCATTGCACAATGGAAACGTCTGGTCGTAAACTGGAGCAGGAAGAAGATGAAACACCCAAACTGAAGTAAAGTGGGATGGTCAGCCAGGCTGCATGCTCTCCGATGTATGGGTAACAAACAGAAGGGCAGACATGCGTGGCACCTGCCCGGAGCCTGTGACACAGATGAGGTGAACCTGCACTACCGGGCAGACACTCTTACAGCCTGGGTCTGAGATGCTCCCCAAACTCCTGTGCTGAAGGCTTGCCCCCAAGTGGGTGGTGCTGTTGGAGGGGGTGGGGAGGTGGGGACCTCAGGTGGTGGAGCCTGGTTTGAGAAGTGGGTCACTTTGTGCTTGTTCCCCCCCATCTCTCTCTCTCTCTCTCTCTCTCTCTCTCTCTCTCTCTCTCTGCTTCCTGGTCACCATGAGCCTTTGCCCTGACACCATGACTGCTTTGCTGTAGACCCCCAATCCCTCAGGCCAAGCGTCCATGGACAGTGGACCAAAACTAGCCTTTCCTCCTTTAAGTTGACTTCCTCAGGTATTTTGTCACGGCAAGAAAAAGCTGCCTGGCTCACATGCTAAGTGAATCTGTTCACGGCTCTGTGGCTTAGCCGCCATCTCCTCTCACGTGACCTAAGAGAAACTCCAAAGGTGCCTTTCCCCACTTGTTCATCACACACACCTGAATGTCCAGGCCATGGTGCCTCGATGAAAAGCCCGGAGGTCTCGCATAGCTCTGAGCATTACACAGACACCTGCGCATTCTGGGAGCCTGAGCAAGTGGGGCTTGATCCCTGGGTCTTGCTCACTGCTCCGACTTCAGCTTGCAACCCTTCCTCACTCCCGTGTCCATGGCAGCCACACTAGTTGATGCACAGAGCCCTTCCCCACCCACCTAGAGCTTCCAAACCTGCTGCTGCCCTGCCTCTTCCTTCAGCTCTTCCTCACCCTTACATCTCACCTCCAGCCTCACCTCCCTGAGCAAGGAAGCTTTCCCTGGATACCACAGAAACATTCAAGCTCCTCCACTCATTTCTATTACACCAATCTGGTTTTTTCCTATAATCCACTTGCCTTAACTTACCACACTCTTGTTTTTAAAGGAGACTGTTTATTGTGTGTTATCTCCACTGGAATATGAGCTTGGCGACAGTAAAGACTGTGCCTCTGTAGCTCCTAAAACAAAAAACAAGGAAGACAAGACGCCAACTCAGAGGGATCCAATGCTATGGTCCCATTCAACTTACCAGTGAGCAACACGGGATTTGAACCCAGACCTGAATGCTACACTCTTTGTCTTCCAGCACGCTGCTGGGGATGGCAGGTAGTTGTCTGGGTTCCTGTCCCAGAGAGCAAAGCAAGTCTCCAGGATTGGAGAAATCAAAATCTGCTGCCCCATCACTGCATTTCCTTTGTGACAAATCCCAGCAATGTTTTGGGGTTCCATAAGAGCCAGCATGCACCTGAGTATCAGTGTGAGGGATTCACCTTACACTACGGCTGTGCCGGGAGCTCAAGGGTTGGGAGAGCCATGACAAAGGTGATGAGAGGAAAGGAGAGGAAGGAGGAGAGGCGTGGCCAAAGGACGGCCACCTCTGGTCCCCTGGAGAGCATTCCTGTCTCTAACCCCAGATACCTGCGAGCCACCCCCAAGTCTTGACACGCAGAGATGCTATGTGGTTGCCCCAGGATTCACCGAAGCTAAGCTTTAAGTGTCAAGACTTGTTCACAGTGAACTCGCAGAAAGCACTGAAGAAAGCTTGGCTGCAGCTCAACCTGGCTCCCAAGCCTAAATCTTCTCTCTCACCCACCCCGCCCAACTGCCGTCTCTGTCCCTTGCAAAGATGGGGTGAAGGGGACACACCTTAATTCCTGGGAAGCCAATCCCCATGGGCCAGGAGTAAAGCCAGCCACTGTGCAGGTCTTGGAGATTCAGAGCCGAGGTAGAGGGGAAGGGAAGGCGCAAGGGGCCTCACACCCAGGGCAGCAGAGCAGCCACTGCCTGGGCTCCTACGTTTTTTCCCAGGCCCGCCCTGCACTGGATAAGCCACTTCTTCCCTAGGACCATCCCTAGGGAGGCCATCACTGTTGAGAGGCTCCTGCTCCCACCCCCTGAGGTAGGAACCTGGGCAGGACACCAGCCCCTCACCGTCCATTCTGCACTTCCCTTCCCAAAAGAAACCAGGGCTCAGATCCACATCAACACCTTCCTCTCTTCACCCCTTCCATAGGTGGAAGGAGAGGCATGGAGCCGAAAACCGGTCTGTCTGGAACAAGCTCACAATCCACTCTGAGTTCTGGGATCACAGGGGCGACCGAGCGGCACTGGACAGAGAGGACATAAAACCTGACCTCTCCTTGCCCTGGCACAGCCCCAAGTCTCCCCTGGGCTATTTCCAATGGTGACAGGGGTTCCTTTCAGGGTTGGTGAGAGCACCTGAGAACTGAATGAGACAGATGCACCCGCTCCTCAGAGGAATGCAACCCTCCAACATTTTGGCTATGACCCCTGAGGGTTCCTGGCCCTGATGCCTGCCCCTCCACTGACCGAGTTTGAGTAACATGAACATGTCTTGCTCCGGGGGATCCAAGACGGACTTTGGGAAGGGACAGAGAGCTTGGTCTGAGGTTTAAGTGACTCCCTGCTTCTGCTAGGGTCTGGAGAGATGGCAGAGAGGACAGGAAGTGGAAGCAAAGCCAACGAGGGGCGTGGCCTCAGGCCCCAGCCCTCCTACTCTCACTCGAGGTGCAGCTCCCAAGACCGGGGCAGCTTTAAGACCAGCATCAAATGGGGTCCCCAGGCGGTCACACTGGAAGGCCACCCAGCCAGGTGGACAGGGACCAGGGCAGAGTGACTCTTCTTGGTTTCCCCAGGGCCCAGCACTCCAATACTACACTGTTCTTCTGGTGTTTACTTTAAAATTTTAAAATTTACTTTAATTTTAGTATTGGGGCTTGAACCCAATACTGGCACTGAGCTATGTCCCTATCCCTTTTTCTTTTTTTTTTTGGTACTAGGGATTGGACTTGGGACTTGCACTTGCGAGGCAGGTGGTGGAACCACTAAGGTAAATCCCTGGCCCTCTATTTTTTTATTTTGGGACAGTGCATTCCTAAGTTACACAGTTTGGTCTTGAGGTTGCTATCTCCCTGCCTCAGCCTCCCAGAGTTCCTGGAGAACACTGGTGCACACCACTCCCAGCTTGCAAAGGTTTTAAAGCTGAAAAACTTACAAACATAACCCAAGCACCCACACAGAATTGACAATTACAATATTGTGATCCTGGCTTCAGATATAAACATCTCAGAGGTGAAATCCCCATCCTCGGTTCCTTCCCAAGGCCCAGCGCAATTCCTCTCCCCCGGGAGAGAGGAACATTCTCATGAATTTGGTGGGAACATTTCGGGTCGCAAAACATATTTTAACATGCCCTATATGTAAATGGTATCGCATTTTATGCATCAGTCTACACTCGATTGCTTTACTCAATCTTATTTTACATTGGGGAGCCACTCACACGGACAGGGGCAGCACCATCCCGCCCTGCTCAGATCTTCCCATTGTGTTGCTAGACCTCTCCGGTCTAGGGTTACTTGTGCACATCCTGGAGAATTTCTCTAGGATTTATTTAGTTGGGATCTTAAAAGCTGTCTAGTTTTAAAGCCCTCTCCCCTACATCGAAGGCATCCAAGGAAGGTAAGGAGTGGGACAGAGACCCCGGGTCGCACTTCATCCTCCAGCCTGGACTGGAAGAAGCCAGGTAGTGTTGTCACTCCCGAGAGCAGAGGGGGAACCTCTTGGGGAGTGGGGCAGGTGGTGGTGAAGGGGCTCTGGCTGTGCAGAAAGGTTGGCCTGCTGCAGGTGACAGAGGAGTTCCCTGCTCTGCAGCAGCCTAGGTGCAGGTGGCAGTATCTCTGTGGCACACTGGGCCATAACACAGGAGCCAGGTGGAGCTGTTGGCGTCCTCTGGCCAACTCCTTACAATACAGGGGCTGCGCCGGGGTCCAGAGTGGGGAAAGGACTTACTCAGGCCACAGCTCAAAGTCCAAGCTGGCAACCAGCATTCCATGTGGCTACCAGTAAGACAGGGCTAGCTGGGGTCCATCCCGGACAGGGATGAGGGAGCACTACCTGCTGTAGTGCCCTGTGGGCCCCCATGTGGGAGGGGGCCTGGGTGCGCGGCTGTCTAATACAAATGGGATACATTCCTTTGGGCTCATGGTGCTGCTCCAATCAGAGAAGACTCTCTTGGAGCTTCAGGGACCCTAGAAGGCAGAGGAAACTGCTGCAGGTAGCCCAGACTAAGAGAGCTGTCCCACCTCCAGGAATGGCTGGTTGCTGCTGGGAAGGGACAGGGCTCTGTTGCAGCTCCTTTGCTTCTGGGTGGCCTGGCTAGGCCAGGAGAGCTTCTAATCTTGGCCATGGGTCACACTTAGCCTCTCTACTCAGTTCTATCTGTGGAACTTGGAAGACTTCATCTTCACCACTACCCATGTACATGGTCTCTCAGGCAGACCAGGGAAAAACATCAAACCCAGTTCTCAGGAGGGTAGGACTCTCATGAGCTTGAATCTAGTCCTGCATCCTCAGCTTCCTCTCTGTGGGATGCAGCAGCCCACTACCCAGCTTGACTCTATTCTCCCAATTCTGAGCTGATGACAGGAAGCTCGCTCACCCATGGTGACGTCCTCATGCTCAGCTCACCTGACCTTGCAGATAGGTCTTACATAGTGATGGTTCATCTCCTCAATTATCTTTCATCTTCCTGGAAGGGAGAGATACAGCTAAGGCTTCTTCGTGTTACACACACCATTGAGCACAGTGCTAAACACATATTAGATGCTCAATAAGTGTTCTTAATATCTCAGCTCCCAGGGAAGCATAGGGTTTATTGACCTAGGTCCCAGATGGGAAAGTAAGGCGTCGGGGAGGACGTGCAACTTAACTTGGAGCCTCACGACACGCATGTATTGAAGCCAAGCTGACAAAATTAAAAATCCAAATCTGGTTTCCAACCACACTTTTGTGACTTGAGACTTCTGAGTCAATGGGTTACTTGGGAGAGACGTAAATGTTCCCTCTCCCCCAACAAGCAATCCGATGAAAAGATTCTGAGCAAGACGAAGAAATGTGAGCAGGGTCTCTGCTTCCGAGGATGTGCCCGAGAGACAGGACAGGTACAGGCACTGAAATAAACAGAGTGTAAACAGCAGCACTAACTCGGCAGGAAGCACAGGATGCTCAGAAATTTGTCTGGCTGAATTTGTCCTCTGTATCCCCAGCAGCTGAGTGGCTTTATACTGTTTCTTTCACAGAGAAGGAGGCGAAAGTTCTTGCGATGTCCTCTGCTCCATCTCTGACACTCTGGCAGGAGGAGCTACTTAGCATTACCTATTGTGACTCTTCCTGCTGCCCTCTCCTCCTGTTGTTCTGCCCAGGAGCCTCACAGCCGGTAGGGGAGGGGGCGCTGGGCTGGGCTGGAGTCAGGGAACAGAAGGAGTTAATTCTGGTTCTACCCCACTCCAGCTCTGGGACTGTCATTTCCCTTTCTGAGCCAGTTACCATGGGGAGGTTGAAGTCCCCACAAGGTATTGCAGACAGCTAAGTTAGTTAGAAATTATGGTCAAGGCTGTGTTCTCAGTATAGAAAACAAGTGAGGCACAATCACTGAAGGTTAACTTTCAAAAGAGAGATATTATTACACCCACATACTTCCCCTAGGGAGGAATAGCAGTGATTGATATTCTAAATCGATCTCAGTCACCTTAACTGGGGACCCAACCGTCCCTAGCTAGCCCACTCCTTCGACCCCATTTCAACATTACCCAGGTGATGTACTCATAATCTTACTGGTTGATTGTGATTTTGTCCCACCTCATGCTCACCTTGTGATTTTTCCATTGGATCTTACAGTTTTGTCCCGCTTTGTACCCACCCCCACCTCGTGACTCTGCCCCATAAAAACACCTTTGAGAAGCAAGGTAGGCGGGCAACTCACTTTCTGGTCCCCCTTCAGTCTCTCTTAGGCAGAAGCTATCTTTCTCCCAATGAATTTTTCCTACTCTTCACCTCCGTTGTTCAAAGTCATTCTTTGACTTTAGAGAAGATGAACCCGTGTTTCAGTATCCAGCAGGTTGGGAGTTATACTATTTCCCTTGCTTGGATTATTTTGCTTATCTGGACTACTTGGGGCCCTGTATCAAGGGAACCCCTGGGCACCCTGAGGGTGCTCATTTTCCCTGAATTATCACATCAGGCTCTCAACAAAGGGTCACAGGTTGAGAGGCTGGTTTTGTCACATAGCCTGATTCAACTTCTCAGCATCTCTACTTCCTCACATGCTAGATAAGCACAAGCAATACAACACACAGCCATTGTGGAGAGTCGATGAAATCAAAATGCCTGGCCAGGGTAAGGGCAGGACACGTGCACAAATGTCAACCAAGCCTGCTGAAACTGTAAAGTAGCTTGGAACGATGCCAGAACGTGATTTGCACACATCAAGTTAAAATAAAAGCACTCACCGGTCCACAGGTCTTTCAGGAACAAGCCCCCATCCCCACCCCACGCCCACCTCTCCAGGGCTCACAGGGCTGAGTTAATGGGGACCTTCTCCCCAGGCAGACCGGTCACAGGCTCCAGCAGGACAGCAGCTGGGCTCTGCAGGGATGTGAGAACAGCCCGAGGCGCCTGCCAGCTGGGGCTGGGGGCTCTGCTGCACCAGACTGGTGGGCGGGCCCCCAGCCAGCTCAGGCAGTGGTCTCTGTGGCTAAATGGGCCACGTGCCGGGGCTAATTGAGTCCCCTTTTAAAACTGCCCGCCCTGTACCCTCCCCCAGCCCAGCTTTGGCAGAATCAGCTTCCTTATCTGGAATTCCTCCCAGCGTTTGTGTTCCTTGTCCTTGACCCCTCTTCCCCTGTGCTGCTCTGGATGGGGGTCAGGGGGCCACGGCCGGCGGGGGCAGGGGTGAGCCTTTGAGCGGGTTAATCATCTCAGCCAGGTCTGCAAGCCTCGCTGGCGGCCGAAGGGCTCCGTGTGCAGAGCTCAGCACACATTTCCTGAGTGAATGGATGAACGGAGAGACAAGAACGGAAGAGGCCGGGATGGAGGAGCGTGGGCGGCGCAAGGAGAGGTTGAGGGTGCTGAGGCGCTAAAGGAGTTCAGGTTGCTGGGGGATGGGGAGCTGGGGCCCACGCTACGCCCAGTTAAGTTCGCTTGGATTCGCAGGAAAGGCAGAAAGTGAAAGGGCAATCGCTGGCAGGATGAGTCATTCCACCCCGCGAACAATCGGAAGCAATTCCAACTTCCCACTGCTCCGGGAAGAATCAAAAGCCACGCTGCCTGGCGGCCTTTGTGCGCGGGTTGTCAGCGCTCAGCTGCCGGCTGCGCCTTCCTCCTTACCGGTGGGCAGCTTGTGTTTTAGCGGCGCTGATTGACAGTTCTCCCCAGGAATAAAATTACCCACCAATGCCGACCTGCCCTTCCCCCTTCCAAAAATAAAGCCCCAGTTACTCCCAAAGCTCATGCAGATTGAACCTGCTGTGCGTGCAGGCGACGCCCACGTGTGATAGCAGAAGGCAGGTCATGCACATTCATGACTCGCGCTTGGGCCTTGTGAGCTGGGCAGCACTGAAGGGGCACGGGAGCTGCTTCTGAAGAACTGTGACTTAAACTGGGCAGGCGGTGTATGTCTGTGATCCCAGCACTCTGGGAGGCTGAGGAAGGAGGGTCCCAAGTTCCATGTGTAGCCTGGGCAACTGAGTGAGTGAGACCCTGACTCACAATAAAAAATAATTCTGAACTGGGACTGTACCTCGGTGTGAAGCTTCCTGGGTTCGATTGCCAGTAGCTCAGTAACAACAAACTGAGGGCTGGGGAATTAGCTCAGTGGTGCTGCTGCCTGCCTCTCAAGCGCAAGGTTCCAAGTTCGATCCCTGGTACCAAAAACAAACAAACAAAGAAAAAAAGATCCCCCCCCCAAATGACTCTGACCTTCCTTGAGGAAGCCGGTGAGAGCTTTAGAGGAAAGCTGGGCATCTAGCTGGACTCCTCATCCCACTGGACAAACAGAAGGAGCCCAGGAGCAGCTGGAGCTAGAATGTCGGGCCAGACGGTAGGTACCCTGCCAGCCAATCCCTTCCTGCCCTGGACCGAAGGCTAAGGGGGTACCTGCTGGAAGGGGAAACTGAGTCACAGCTGGGTCTGGGTGAAGAAGCACCAGAACCAACAGGGTCTCCGGCAGGATGAGAAAATGGGTTTTTGCTTACTTATCTATTTTATAGCTCCCTGAAGTATTCGGAGGCAAAGTCTGCTTCCTTTGGGGAAGACTTGTGAAACACAGGCCATGCCAGCCCCTTGGGGAAGGAGGGTGGTGACACACTGACAGCTGTAATGTGCCTGGGCCAGGGACCCAAAGTTGGCACCTATCTAGTTCATGTCTGGCAAATCAGACGCCCCTCCGCCGCTCCGCTCGGAGGGGACACATCTCCATTTCTGCGCGGATCTCTGACTCCGAGCGATGGCTCTGAGGCTGGTTCCCACTCCCCCAAATTCCGGCCCTTCATCCACCTGTCCCCAGGACTATACCTCCACCCTCTTTGGCACTGCTCACACAGAGGAAATACCTCAGGTGAGCCAACACACACTGCATTTCAACCTAACAGCCAGGTGCAGGAACATGGCAAGGGTGCCCACCACCTCGTGAACTGCACACCTTGAACACAGTGGCGCCAGGGGCCCATCAGTGGCACCATGGAAGCAGCCATCTCCTTATTCCCCAAGGAAGGTCTGCCTGGCTGGCAGGGTGAGGAGGCCACAGACATTGACAGGAGGAGAAAGAACCCAGTCCGCACTGTAAGAGGCCACAAAGGCCAAAGGCGCTGTGTGACTTGCACCAAGCCGCACAGCTGGGCCTACACCAGGCCCTGGAGGCTCCTCCAAGGCACTTCCCACTTCTGTCTTTCTTTAACAGTGCAGCAGGGTGGAGGAAGCACGCGGGTGAGAGGCTCCACTTTAAAAATACTAGATCAGACCAAAGGGGAAACCAAGGGCCCACCCTGCACCCCTGCAACCTGTGACTTCCCATGTTGACCCCAGCCGTGCATGTGGACTGCAGCCAGCTGACAGGGGGCATCTTTCCCTAAAATAGTCTGGGGAAAACTGGAGCTTGGAAGTGTGGCTGGTGCTAGGGTGTGGCCAGGGAGGGAGGGAGGGAGGGAGAAAGAAGCCGAAAGCTCTCTGCCACCTACAAGAGCCCAGGCAGAGCTCTGCTTTCTGCAGGGAAAAGCAAGCCACACTCCAGCAGTTGGGCAGAAGGCTGGGGTGGGGAAGGGTGGATGAAGATGCAAGTGCTGCCTGAGAAAAGCTCCGTGCTCCCATCCTCACTCTGCCTCATCCTCACAGCCTAGCTCCTCCTTCATATCCAGAGAGAGAGAGAGAGAGAGAGAGAGAGAGAGAGAGAGAGAGAAAGAGAGAG